GAGAGGCCCGCATACCGCAAAAAAACAAAAAAAAACCAAAAAACCTGGTGGTTAGCCAGATATCATCTCTCATGTTCTGATTTGTCTTTAACCTTCTTTCAAATTCTGATACTGGGATTTTCCCTTTTTTTCAAGCTTAGCTCTTATAGGATAACAGGAGAGGGTAACTACTAACCCATTTTTCCATGGTGCTAGATAATATTCCATGTTTTCATTCACACACATGCACACACATACACACAATATTTTTCTTTTAGGTATAAATTAAATTTTACTCACTATAAATTTTTATTGAGATAGAAAAATTAGAGAAGTTCTAAGAGTTCTAAGAATTTAGCTTGTAATGATTAGAAAGATGAGAAAAGTATCATTTTATTTATCAAGGTTAAATCATATGAAATGCCACTCTATACTACCCCCAATTTTTTTTTTTTTTTTGGTAATATCTCACTCTAAATTTCTTTACCATGGCCTTGCCTATATTTAGAACTTCCATCTTGTCATTCCTTCACTTCACTCATTACACTACAGGCTTTGAACAGGTTCCCATACAAGTTCCCTACTGCCATTCAAAATGCTAGATCATTTCCCAAACTTTCTATCTCAGCCAAAACATCAATTCCACAAATAGGTTTTTCTAACTATCTTATCTATATGGTCACACCCCTCCTCAAAATTCTCTATTCGAGCACTCCATTTCTTCAGAGCACTTTTCACGACCTCTTTATATTGGGGAAGTTTGTCATTAATTTCCTATTAATTTTCTTTCTCCTCTTCTGTAATATAAGCTCCAAGTGTGGACACAGTCCCTTTCTTTCACATGTGCCACTATATTGTTTTCTTCTTTTTTTTTTTTTTTGCTGCACCATGCAGCATGTGGGGTCTTAGTTCCCCAAGAGGGATTGAACCCGTGCCCCCTGCAGTGGAAGCATTGAATCTTAACCACTGGACCACCAGGGAAGTCCCCAGTATGCCACTATATTCTTATTTTCTATTGTAGTGCCTGACACGTATGTATATTGAATTAGTTTTGCAAATTGAATGATTTGATTTAATAAGAAAGTTAAATAAATGTGTTTTATATTGATTATATCAGAAATACTAAGTGTGTTTAAGGCTATGGAATTTGGGCATGCCAAATTTTTCACCAGAGAACATTGGTAGTTTAATTACTTTTTTCCATTGTTTCATGCTTCTTAATCAATTAACTAGTATGGATATTTGTATCAAAGATTTATCAAAATAAAGTGTAATATGTGCTCAACATAAAGTACTAAAGTATAAAATTTTATAGGATCAAAACTGTTTTAATTCATTACTTGCTTTTGTTTTCTTCTTACATAATGGTGTTCTCTTCAATCTTCTTTATTTTAGTATCCAGGTGCAATAACATTGGAGGGATTTTTAGTTATTATAGCTCAATTATTTGGCCTTAAGTTGAGATTAACATATGATGACATCCACAAGTGTTCCTGTCCAAGAGCTACATGCATAATGAATCATGAAGCAGTATAAGCCTTGTTTTTCATTTGAATTAATTTCACACATACGTTTGTGAGGTTGTTTACAAGACATGGTGAATTTCTTATTCTTTATACTCAGTTCCACATCAAAAGTTGGAAAGGTATGTTGTGCCTGAAGAGATATCACAGATTTGTCCAAATGATACAAGACTCCAGAAGGTGGTAAATCTCATGATAATGAAATATTTACTCAAGGGAATTAGAGGGAAAATTTAAATATTTATGAAGACTATGAAATATTTTATAAATAATACTACTTTTGTTTTTGTTGTTGTAGTATCTATTGCCAAGGCAAAGATGTCTAAAATCTTGCTTAAAAATATAACAAAGAACTGGCAGCTTTGACTATTATTTTGATGGAAATAAAAAGGAGGAAAGATTTGAAGAAGAAAAAGAATTGCCCTCATTTGCAGAAATTATGATTAACTACCTACTTAAATCAACAGAATCAGTTTACAATTAGAACAACAACATCAAAAAATTCATCAGGATGATCAGTCTTGGAAAACACTAAGAAAATGGATGCCTATTATAAAATTTCTAATTTTTCCAGAAGAGATCTATAAGTTCAGTAAAATCCCAATCTATATTTTAGATTATTTTTTAAGGAACTTGATCAACTCTATGGGAAGTGATAAAATGAAGATGGTAAACATAGACAACCTTTTGGGGATTATGAGGTGCAATTTATGATCAAAGAAGGGATTTTTATTTTGGGGAGACACTACATATTGTCTACCGACTTTTAGAAATAAAGAAATGGGGGAAAGATGATGATGTTGGATATAATGAAGACTTAAGAGCAAAATCATGGAATAAACTAGAGAGGAGAGGATCTGGTACGTAAAAAAAGGGACTGGCTTTTATCAGAGCTGGGCATATTCAATTATTGTGATACAGTGTTTGGAGGGTAAATAGATAGATATGAAGGTAGTTGAATAGCTGTGAGACAGGCTGGGACCTGGGGCCCTTTGCTGCAGTGCTGCAGTGCTTCCACTTGGACAAATCTCTCTTCGAGCAACAAAATACAAAGAAGCTGTATGGGACTGAAAATAACTGCGTGCATGCTGAGTTGGGACAAATTCTGGACAAAAGTTGGGACAAATTCTGGACAAAAGTTGGGACAAATTCTGGACAAAAAAAGATACAAAAAGACCCCAAAAAAGAAACACCCAACTGCCGCTTTGGAAGAGCCTGGAGCAAAAGCAGGTACTGTGCATGACCCCTGCACACAACACCACCTAAGGGGTGAGCAAACCACCTAAGCCACCATTCTGGCCTGACCCCTGGACACACCCCTACCCTCACCCCATATAAGGAACAAGCTTGCCCCCCCACCCCCACCTCAGGGAGTGAGCCAGCAAGGGAAACTGTTGATTGTTTTCACTCCCCCACCGCTGCTTGCAGCAGGGCCCCCAATAAAGCCTTGCCTGAATTTCTTGTCTGGCCTCTGACCAATTTCTATTGATTAAGGAGACCAAGAACCTTGGTTGGTAACGGTTGCAACAGAGACCATATGGCACACTATTTCAGCAAAGCTGAAACTATTTTCTATTTCATTCTTTACAGAAAATGTGTGCTGTACCCTATTCTATAGCATTTCCAAGAGCTGCTTGTGGGATTTAGTTTTATGTTACAGGAGCAGTAACCAGCTCACAGACTCACACGTGTTGGCATGCATCCCTTCCCTAACGTCCCATACCAGTGCTTTGGTGGTAGGCAGAATGGACCTTCAAAGATGTCCTCACTCTAATCCCTGGAATTTGTGGATATGTATGTTACATGGTAGAAGGTAAGTTGCAGAAGTCATTAAGGTGATGGACCTTCAAGTAGGGACACTATCCTAGATTATCTGGGTGGGTCCAATCTAATCTCATGAGCCCTTAGAAACAGAATATTCTCCAGGTGAAGTCAGAGAGATGTGGCAGAATGGGGCTCAAAAAGACTGGTGCTGGGAAAACTGGACATCTACATGTGAAAGAATGAAATTAGAATATTTCCTCACACCATACACAAAATGGATTAAAGATCTAAAGGTAAGACCCCAAACCTTAAAACTCTAAGAAGATAACCTAGGCAGAACACTCTTTGACATAATTTATAGCAGTATTTTATCTTTATCTGTCTCACAAAGCTAAAGCAAAAAGCAAAAATAAACAAATGGGACCTATTTAAACTTAAACACTTTTGCACAGCAACGGAAACCATTGACAAAACTAAAAGACAACCCATGGAATGGGAGAAAATACTTGCAAATGACCAACAGGGGGTTTATATCCAAAACATATAAACAGCACATAGAAATCAATATCAAAAAACAAACAGGCCAGTCAAAAATTGGTCAAAAGACCTGAATTGACATTTTTCCAAAGAAGTCATACAAAATGGCTAACAGGCAAGTGAAAAGATTCTCAACATCGCCAATTATTAGAAAAATGCAACTCAAAAGCCCAATGAGATATCACCTCAAACCTGATAGAATGTAGAATTTAAAAGTCTACAAATAACAAATTTTTGAGGGGACGTGGAGAAAAGGGAACCCTCCTGCACTGTTGGTGGGAATGTAAACTGGTGTAGCCACTATGGAAAACAGTATGGAGGTTCCTCAAAAAACTAAAAATAGAACTACCATATGACCCAGTAATCCCACTACTGGGCATATATCCAGAAAAGACGAAAATTAATTTGAAAAGATACATGCACCCCGATGTTCATAGCAGCACTACATACAAGAGCCAGGACATGGAAACAACCCAAGTGTCCATGACAGATGAATGGATAAAGAAGATGCAGCATATATACGCAATGGAATATTACTCAGCCATAAAAAGGATGAAATTCTTCCATTTGCAGCAACATGGATGGACCTAGAGAATATTATGCTTAAATAAAAAGTTTTAAAAGTAACATAGCCTCAAAATAGAAGAATCAAAAATTGATAGTAATTAAGGAAATAAAATAGCCAAACATGGTTGGTTTTTGGTTATTTTCACTGATCCAAAACTTTTTTTTTAATTGAAGTATGGTTGATTTACAATATTATGTTCGTTCCAAGTGTACAACGTAGTGATTCAATATTTTTATACATTACACTCCATTTAAAGTTATTATGAAATACTGGCTATATTCCCTGTGCTGTACAATATATCCTTGTAGCTTATTTAATTTATACATAGAAGTTTGTACCTCTTAATCCACTACCCCTATCATGCCTCTCCCCCTTTTCTTCACCCCACTGGTAACCACTAGTTTGTTCTCTGTATCTGTGAGTCTGTTTTGTTATACTCATTTGTTTGTTTTATTTTTTAGATTTGAAATATAAGTGAGAACATACAGTATTTGTCTTTCTCTGTCTGACTTATTTCAGCAAACATAATACCATTTGCAACCACATGGATGGACCTGGAAGGTATTATGCCAAATATGTTTTTTAATAGCTCCAACTATAAATGAACAAAATTCTAATCAATAGTAAAATAGAAAAACAGATGGACATATTCAACGTGTGATATACAGCAACAAGAGGGAAAAAAAAAAAAAAACTATTGCTACTCACAACGTGGATGGATCTCCTAATCATCATGTTAAAAAAACTTAAACATAAAAAGAATACATGGTGATTGGCTCCATTTATATAGGTTCAAAAACAGACAAAAGTAATCTATGGTGTTAGAAGTAGTGATTGTCAGGGGACAATCTGGCAGCTTTAGTGGTTCTATATTTTATTTCTGGATCTGAATCTAGGTGTTAATTACACTGGTTTGTTCAGTAGAATATTGAGCAGTGCCTATATATATTATACATTTATACATAAATGTATAACATATGTAGTATAAATATTTATATATATTACATAAAAGTTCACTTAAGTGTAGATGAATCTTCCTGTTCATTAGCTGTTTCTTCAGCCTTGCCTTTCGGAAGTGATTCTGCGCTTTCTTAGCCGGAAAGCGGAGTCACAAGGCGTCAAAGCCTCCTGCATAGATTTAGCGGCCAAGGCCGCCCACGTTGAATGGCGCACAGCAGGCAGCCTCTCGACCCTCCGCTGCTCTCCCAGCCGCCTGCCTCCTGCGGTGTGTGCGGTCAGGAGGGGTCTCCTCGCGCCCCCAACTGCCCTGTAGTCAAGCGTACGGCCGTTATTCGGGCTGCCATCCAGGACGTCCAGCCATGTGGTGCCTTCTGTTTCTGCTTCTGGGGCTCATCGGGCTTCAGACAGACGATAGTAAGTACTAAAACCCTCTTCTGACCTTTAGGGAATGTCAGGTCTCCTTTCTGTTTCCCTCTGAGAGGCTGGATATCCCTTTAAAAGTGTTTTTTTGGTGGGAGTTCCAACTGTGTAAGCCCGAATCCACTCCCACATTGCCACCTTTCCCAATCAAAATCCACTTTGGTTGCGAGGGTCTTTCCCACTCTTCTTGGGACCGTAGTAAAGATGGGAGATGCCGTGGCTTGAGTAGATCCCTTAAGATTAGAGTTTCATATACTGCTCTGCATTTCTGATATCTGGATTCTGTAGTTGGAAGGTCCAAAGGACCTGACTTTATTTGTTCTGAGAGCACTTGGGCCTATTACCTCAGGGTTACCAGAACCTGCCCACAGGGCAATATTTCTAAAGTAGTATACCTGTTTCTCTTTAAAAGATTTGTAATTCTAGAAAGAAGTGGGTATTGAGGTGAGGGTATTTGAAAAGAGAGTAAAAATGAGGGATGGCATATAGAATATTATGGATTTAGATGAGGAAATAATGAAGGAAGCTATGAGGTGGTGAGTGTTGCCCCTGTAAAACATTTTGCACCTTGCAGATTCAGAAAGACTACGTGTGCAAATTACAGTTCCAGAGAAAATACGGTCAACGTCAAGTGGAGGAGTTGAAACATACGTAATTAAGCCCTAACATTTTTCACAAACTAAAAAGCATGTGACTATTTTGTTCCTAATAAGTAAACCTGGTGTTTTTCATCTCTGCACACTTTCTGAATTTTATATTTATACCCAATTTTTCTTAAATGGAAGAGCCCTTTTGAAAATGAACCAAGATTAACAATGTTTCATAGAAATATGGTGCAGTGATGCTTATTATCAAAGCCCCAAGGCCCATCTAAATCTAAATGGTTCTAAATCTCTTTCCCTCCTGAGCGTCTGAATAATACCTGACCTGATCCATTTACAGTCTCTTGTCACTCATTCACCATACAATATTTGGAGGATTTTTAGTAGTTGTTAAGTAAGCCTATGGCATCCCTATAGGGGATGGCAATCATTTGATTTAATGAAGTGTTGTATGAATAATTTTTATGTCTTGATTGAAAATATGTTCATCATTAAGAATTCTTTTTATGCCATCTTAGTGTATCTTGGTTCAGGTATTAGTTTTCTCCTTTTTATTCTTTGAATTAATTAGAAAGTTTCTTATCTGTTTTACTAATTTCTAGAATCATTTCTAAAGAAGTGAAGTATTTTTTTAAAACACCACACCTTAATTTTCTTTTTGATTGGTAGTAAATGTTTAGATAATTTGAATGCAAATATTTCCTTATCAGCTACCTAGTTGTCACACTAATACAGATATCACAAGCTTAAAATTTTCAATATATAATTTATAAGGGAATGAATATTTATGAAAACTTTAAATCATTTAAATAGAAAAAAAGAGGTGAGACATTTAACAGCATTTTAAGAGTATTTTGTTTTTTTAATGGAAAAATCTATGGAATTACTTGGTCATATTAGAAAATGTACACAGAATCTACTTAGAGGGAAATATCTTCAACCAGGTTTCACCAGATACTATGAGAGTAATTCTCATAAGAGAAGTAAAAAAAAAAAATCATCTGTCCTCAACTGTCAAATTCATGAGGGAAAAATGTTGACTATTTTGTTAATGTCTCTTAACTCCAGTGCCTAGAACAGTGCTGGCTACATAATAAAGGATTAATAGTATTTTTTGAACTGATAAGGCTATTGTACCTACCGACTTAACAAATGCAACAAACATAATATGAAAAGTGTATGTTTATAATTATTATAATTAATAAAGAATATACCACAAGAGAATATTCAACTTAAAAAGACTAGGAGGTTTTAAAAATAACTGAATGGAACTTCTGTACATGAAAAATATAGTATGAGAGTAAAATCAAGAATTAACAGTAGCCAGAGACAGCTGAAGAAACTAAGCAGATGCAACATATAAACAGCTCAAGGAAAAAGAGGAGAGAATTAGAGGCTTGAGTAAAGAGCAATTAGAATTCCTGGAAAATAGAGAAAACAATCTGGAAAAGAGGTTATATTAAACATGATGAACTGAGATCAGGTATCACAACACAGAATAAATAAAAATTAGAGTACATTAACACTTTTCAGATTACAAGAGAAGAAAATAATTTAAATAATGTACTTCAGCAGTTAGAAATTGAAACTGGGACAAAGAATAACATAAAAGCTGGAATTGATGAAAAAGTATGAATATGTATACCTCAAAACAAAACATATTGAATATACAATTGTAACTGTAACAAAAGAATATAAAGCATATATACATCTTGGTATAATAGGGAATTAAAATCATTTAAATAAAACTGTTAAAATTTTTGATTGATTAAATTTATCAGAAATTACATATATTTCAAATTGAATTTAAAAATATATACCACAAGAGAAACACCTAAATCACAAGGGAATAGAAAGGTCTAGCACAAAAATAAGAAAAATTATACAAAGCAAATAGTAAAGTTAGTATAGGCAGCCATATTTTATCAGGCACAAGTTGTCTGTAAGGCAACACAAATAAAAGTATGAAAGATTTTAATAGGGATGAAAAAAAGTGGACATAGTGATACATAGAGCAGAAATTTAACAAATGAATAATACAATGAATAAATGTGTCAACAAATTCAAAAATCCTTGAGGAGATAAGCAATTTCATAGAAAAACAAACTCTTGGGATATAAGGAAAGATGAAAATGCCCAACAGTTTAAAAAATTTGAATCTGAATATAAATGTCTCTTTCTCCCTCCTCAAAAATACAAAAACAACCATTAAAACTAAGTCAAAAGCTAAATTATTTTACAAATAAATACAACCAAACATTTAAGAAAGACATAATTAAAACTCATAAAAACTCAGCCAGCAAAAAGAAAAAGAGTTAATACTGCTGAATACATAAAGGCAATATTACCTTGACACCAAAAACAAAGAAGGGTAATATAAGAAAGAAAATTTGGGACTGAATGAATTCATGAGTATATGTGGCAAACATAAGAAATATGAGAAAATCTAATATAACAAAGTATTAAGAAATGACCAATGGCTTGTTTGTTTTTTTGTTATTGAGTTGTATGAGTTGTTTGTATATTTTGGAAATTAAGCCCTTTTTGGTCACATCATTTGCAAATATTTGCTCCCAGTTAGTTGGTTGTCTTTTGTTTTGTTTATGGTTTCTTCTGGGGTGCAAAAGCTTAGAAGTTTGATTAGGTCCCATTTGTTTATTTTTACTTTTATTTCTATTGCCTTGGGAGACTGACCTAAGAAAACATTGCTATGTTTTATGTCAGAGAACGTTTTACCTATGTTATCTTCTAAATGTTTTATGGTGTCATGTGTCTTATATCTAAGTCTTTAAGACATTTTGAGTTTATTTTTGTGTATGGTGTGAGGGAGTGTTCTAACTTCATTGATTTACATGCGGCTGTCAAACTTTCCCAATACCACTTGCCAAAGAGACTGTCTTTTATCCATTGTATATTCTTGCCTCCTTTATCGAAGACTAATTGACCATAGGTGTGTAGGTTTATTTCTGGACTTTCTAGCCTGTTCCATTGATCCATATGTCTTTTTTTATGCCAATACCACACTGTTTTGATTACTGTAGCTTTGTAGTATTGTCTGAAGTCTGGGAAGTTTATGCCTCCTGCTTTGTTCTTTTTCCTCAGGATTACTTTGGCAATTCTGAGTCTTTTGTGATTCCATATAAATTATAGGGTTATTTGTTCTACTTCTGTGAAAAATGTCATGGGTAATTTGATAGGGGCCGCATTAAATCTGTAGATTACTTTGAATGGTATGGTCATTTTAATAATATTATTCTTCCAATCCAAGAGCATGGGATAGCTTTCCATTTCTTTAAATCATCTTTAATTTCCTTTATCAATGTTTTATAGTTCTCAGCATATAAGTTTTCACCTCCTTTGTTAGGTTTATTCTTAAGTACTTTTTTGGATCTGATTTTAAAAGGGTTTTTTTTTTTTTTTTTAACATTCCCTTCCTGATATTTCATTGTTAGTGTAAAGAAATGCAAAAGATTTATGTGTGTTAATCTTGTATTCTGCCAGCTTGCTGAATTTGTTTGTCAGTTCTAGTAGTTTTTGTGTAGAGTCTAAATATGGGCAGAAGACCGAAATAGACATTTCTCCAAAGAAGACACACAGATGGCCAACAGGCACATGAAAAGATGCTCGACATTGCTAATTATTAGAGAAATGCAAATCAAAACTGCAATGAGGTATCACCTCATTCCAGTCAAAATGGCCATCATTAAAAAGTCCACAAACAAGAAATGCTGGAGAGGGTATGGGGAAAAGGGAACCCTTCTACACTGTTTGTGGGGATGTATATTGGGGCAGCCACTGTGGAGAATAGTATGGAAGTTCCTTAAACAACTAAAAACAGTGTTACCATATGATCCAGCAATCTCATTCCTGGGCATATATCTGGAAAAGACAAAAGCTCTAATCGAAAAGATACCTGCACCCCAGTGTTCAGAGCAGCACTATTTACAATAGCCAAGACAAGGAAGCAACCTAAATGTGCATCAAGAGATGAATGGATAAAGAAGATGTGGTTTATATATACAATGCAATACTACTCAGCCATAAAAAAGAATGAAATAATGCCAACTGCAGCAACAGGGATGGACCTAGAGGTTATCATACTAAATGACATAAGTCAGACAGACAAAGACAAATATCACATGATATCACTTATCTGTGGAATCTAAAAAATGATACAAATGAACTTATTTACAAAAGGAAACCAGACTCACAGACATAGAAAACAAAATTATGGTTACCTAGGGGGAAAAGGGGGGTATAAATTAGGAGTTTGAGATTAGCATATACAAACTACTGTATATAAAATAAACAAGAAGGTGTAGCACAGAGAATTACATTCAATATCTTATAATAACCCATAATAAAAGAGAATATGAAACAGAATATACATAGGTATGTATAACTGAATCACTTTGCTGTACACCAGAAACTAACACAGCATTCTAAATCAACTGTACTTCAATTAAAAAAAAGAAAAAAAAAAAAGAAAGAAATGGCCAATGGCAAAATGCAATTTACATCTAAATTGTTAAGATGATTGAATCTTAGAATATCAATGAATTAACTGTGTTTTAGAATTATATGGGGAAATGAATATACATATAGCATTAGGAGCAGTAAAACTACTGTTCAAAGTTCAATACCATATATGATAAAATAACCTAGCAATAGAAGAATGTAACTTAACTTTGTTAATCCTATAAAATAAACCTCTTAATCCTATAAAATTTAAATAAACTTTAAACATTTTAAAACTTAAAATAAATTTTAAAGATATAATTTACACTACATAAAAATCAAAGTCTAAATAAATGTAACAAAGGAAAGCAAAACCTCCTCACTGAAGACAACAAAACCAGGTGAGAGGAGGTAAAGATCTATATAAATTGAGTAGATCCTATGCCCATGGATTGGAAGGCCCAATAATGGAAAGAGGTCAAGGCTCCTCAAACTGATCTATAAAGACTAAGTTTTCCATTTGTAGACATTCTTTCTTAATAAAATCCATGAGTATTGCATCCAAACTTGGAACAAATTTTATAAAATCTACAAATATTAAACATTCTGTTTTGTTAATTCTTTGCTATACTATATAAATTTTCTATTTGGTAATTTAGTTATACTCTTCCATTTTAAGCATAAATTTTGCAATGGCCTCAGTATTAAGCTGACAAAATTATTGGATGCAAGTCAACAATATTTCAGGGTCTATCTTATTGCATAAGTGTTAAAATTAATAAGAAACTGTACCAATTATATTCTTCCATCTATCTTTATTATGAAAGCAAATATTTAAATATCTGATTCCATTGGAATAAATCAATATTAAATTATAAATTTTCCTCTTTTTTATTGTATTAGTGTGCTTTAGCATGTTATTATTGTTAATATAAAATGATAGTTTTTCTTTTTAACATTCTTCTCACTTTTCTTTGCTTTTTTAATATACTCTCCTGCCAGGTGTCCTACAACATTGTAATTGAAGGGAAAACATACACTGTGAACCTAATGCAAAAGTAGGTGAACTACATTATTTTATTACCTGTCTTTGTTCTAGTTATAATTATTGTTCATATTTATCCAGAAAGTAACTATTTTGCATTTGTAAATATTTTTAGTTGCTTACTATTTGTCTCCTATTTTATGCTTAAGAAAAACATTTTAAACCTATATAATAAACATCTAGGACCTGGATCCATATGTATGCTCGCATCTTTTTCCTTCCCAGCAACATCAGATTTCTATTTGACTATTTATGTGGTTTCATGGAGGATGAATTTTGATATTTTTCTATTTTTATCACGACATAAATACGACTTATTTTTGAGTTCTCTTACATTCAACTATATTTGAAAGAGCATAGTGGATTTTTGAGTGGAAAGAACAGTGATTCTTTAAATTAGTTTACATATCACAATGTATTAAGGACTTAGAATACAACTGTAATTAGCCAAACTCAATCCCATGCCAGCTAAGGAAATTGGGGAAAAAATAAGCACACCATATTTGGAAATAAAGAAAAATCAAAACAGTAATGGTCGTTTTTAAAATGGGTCCTTTATTAAAAGTTTTGGTCAATTTGTCTATTATAAATCTTGATAGCTTAAAGGTAAGGTCTTTCCATCCTTTTCTTCATCAAGAATGTTCTGGCTTTTCTTACTACTTTTCATTTTCATATATTTTATAATAAACTCTTCCACAAAGATATATCCATAGATATTGATTGTGACTTCATTGAATCTACAGAGTACTTTTGGAGGAATTTTTCCTGTCATTCCCTTTCAATTTTTTATTCACTCTGGATTTTTTTTACTGAGTCTGAAATTCTTTTAATGCAGTCCAAATTATTATTTTCTTTGTAGCTATTATTCTTTTCATATTTAAAAAAAAATCATTGTCTTCATACAGTCATGAATCCAAGCTGCCATTTTTTTCTAATAGCTTTTATTGTTTTCACTTTCATGTTCAACTCTAGGGTTCATCCAGAATTGATGTTTGTGTGTTTCATGAGCATGGGGATCAAGATTCAAACATTTTATCGTATTAGCATCCAATGGATCCAACACATGCTATTGGAAAAAAAAATACTTTTCTCATTGCACTGTAATGAAATGTTTGTAATAAATCAAATGACTGTTTATGAGTGGGATATCTTTCTGGACTATTTTATTTTATTTGTTTACTCCTGAGCCCTATTTATCTGAACAGATATCACACTATATTAAATACTGTACTAGGTCTTGTTACCCAGCCTTGTTCAACAATTTTAAGATGTCCTTGTTTTTCTTGATCCTTTAATTTTCCATATAATGTCTGAAGTCACCTTTTTTTTTGTACCTTTTATTTTATATTCTTTTTCTTTCATAGTCTCCATTTTAATGAATCTATTATTTTATATTATACCATTTTCCCTCAATTAAATTCTTTGTTATACAACTTTTTACTATTCTTTTAGTATTTTCTCTAGATTATCATATTAATCCCTGAATTATTAAATCTAATATACATTATTATTTTACCAGTTATCATACATTGTTAGATCTTCAAATCTTTTAATTTCACTTACCTTCTACCTTTTCATTATTTTTCCTGTATGCTTTTAAACCCCAATTAGATATGACTATTCTATTATTTTTTGTATAGTCAATATCCCTTTATAATTAAGCATAAATTTGCACATTCTGTTGCTCTTCATTTTTTCCTGCGTTTGTTTCTATCTGCAGTTAATTTCTATATGTCTCAGTAATTCTCTGTATTTCTGTTGTAGATCTGCTTGTTTTTGATTAATTTGTATTCAATGTCAAATATTAACCTTACTCTTAAGAACTTTTTTGCTGGAATAAATTCTAGGATGACCTTTTAAAAATGACTTTTGTCCTTTAAAAGCATCATTCCGATGTCTTCTGGCTTTCCTCGTTTCTATTGACAACTTAAGCTATCAGTCTTATTGCTGTTCTTTGAAGGGAACATCTTCGTTTTCTTCTTGATACTTTGAAGGTTTTATTTTGGTTTTCATCAGTCTTTAAAACTATATTTAGGGGTGATTTTTCTTTGCTTTTATCATGCTCAAATAAAATAGGACTTACTGAGTCTATATCATCAATTTTGAAAAAACTTTGCTCTTATTTTCAGAGATTTTTAAGTTAATCTCCTTGGCTACTCTGTGCAACTTCAGAATTTAGCAGATGATTTTACAGAGAAAGAAGCTATGAATCTGATGCAACTTAAATATTCATATTTTTATTCCAGAACTGCACAGCCACCAAAAGTTCTGCTTGTTTCTAGGCTCCCCAATAATAGCTTTCTCCCTGGTCCAAGCCTGGATATTTGACTTCTTTCTTTGCCAAAAAACAGTGCTTGTATATCACTAGCTAAGTCTCTTTATAGGACTTTCAACCCAGAATCTGTGTGTTCCCTGGAGCTCCACCCCACTGTGTATTATTTTCTTTTTTTGTTACAAGAATACAAAAAGTTTTGCTCTGTTTGTCAGCGGTTTGGCTCTTTGACCTTTTGCTTTCACAAATCCACACTGCCATAGCTGTCACAAATCTTTATGCTATATTAATTGGAAAAATGAAAATGAGATACCTACACCCACCCTTTCTCTTTGTAAAGCCTTTTAAGCATATTCTTCCCATATTACAAACAATGTATTTTAATGTGAGATCTCCACCTGATCTGTTGAATTCATTTCATATTAGTTCAATACTTATTGACCATTTGCTATTTTCCGGATATTCTTCTAAGAGATTGAGATGCATTAGTAAACAAAATGGATATGAATTTTATATTGTTTATCAGATGAGACTAATAATGGTATGATAAATAGTGGATTAGGAAGAATGTTAGAAAGTGATAAATGCTTAAGCAAAAATATAGAACAAACTAAGAAGTGTCATTTGGAAATCCTATGCTTTAATAATTGAGAAAGTTGAAAATTTTTATAAACTTGTCAAGAGAAGCCTCAGTGAGATGTGGATATATAAGCAAAGACTTGAAGTAGATGAGACAATGAGCCATGTTGAAGAACATCCTAGAAAGGGGCAACAGCTAGTGCAAATACCCTGAGACAAAAGTTTGCCTGTTGTGTTTAAAAAACAGGAAGGAGGACAGTGTGACAGTAAGGTGAGTGAGGAGAGGTCTGAAGACTAGAATTTTTTGAGCAAAATTAAAACTAAATCCATGTACTCAAAGAATCTCTCCCTCATGCGCTCTCTCTCTCTCTCCTCTCCCTACCTATCTATAATAAGTTTAATAAAAGAAATAGCTTTTCATAATAAAATCTAGGAAACAAATTTTCCATTAAATACTTTTTATCTTTATTTTACAGAGTTTTCTTACCTCATAATTTTAGGGTTTATGGTTATAATGGCACAGGAAGTATGAAACCTCTTGAACAACAGTTTCAGGTATGATTTTTATTGTCTGTTTTACCTTTGTTATGTGAGTTTCTGTGACTGTTTTACTTAGGGTCCACATGTCTCTAGAGTATAACAGGCTGGAGTTTTGTTTTGGCATGAATGTAACCATTTCCTTTGATGATGTGTCTTGAATTAGCTTTGTGACACAGATGATTAACCAAACCACAAATGATAGTGATGCATTTAAGCTATTATTTCATGATGATGCACATGTATGTGTTTATGTACCTGTGGCAAGAGGGTTGAATATGGAGTGAAATACTTAAAATGAAAAAACATGACTTAAATCAGGAAAGCTAAATCTAGGAAGAAAAGGAAAATCCAAAGACTTGTCTGAAGTATGTTCAGGGACCAAATAAATACACATAAATTTCATGCACATTTAGGAATATATTAAATTTTCAACTACTTGGAGCTTCATTTAACAAAGTTTTCCATTTGCTGTAAATATAATAAAGAAATGTGCATAGAATTTCAAGGAATACCCATGCCTGAAATGCTGTTTTGCTTTTTACATTTGCCCTGCCTTACCAATTCCTATATTTTTTTAATTTGCATTCCTGATTTCTATGTAGCGAATTAACAACCACTTTGAAATTAAAGCATTTTTATAGAGACTAAGCTCTTAACAGGAGAAATAATAGGTATGGTGAGTTCTTTAAATTTTGCCTAACAGAGTAGGCAAATACATGTGGATCATCTATGGAGTTCTCTATACAAATATAAAAATGATGCATACTGTCAAAAAGTTTTATGATATATACATACGTGCATATATACATAATATTATAGACATACTTATGTATACACACACAATATATGTGTGTGGGGGGCATTTTTTGTGTGTGAGTGTGGTGAAAAAGAGACGGAGAGAAACAGAGGTAAAACAATGAGACAACGAGATGCACAGGGCCGCAATATCCCGCACCTGCATTTTAAGTAATTCTGCCATACCTAACACCTAACTCTACTTCCTACCTCCCAGGAGGTAATCATGAGAGACAGATGTATAATTCAAAAGAAAAAGCAAAGATGTTTTATTTATAACCTGGATGTAATAAGTTATTGAATGCTGGCCTCAAATGCCATGTTTGCCAAAGCTGCAAGCCTATCGTCAGTGTAGGAAAAACCAGGAAAGTTTATTAAATTAGGTTAGAAGCATATAAATCTATTTTTCATAAATTCCAAAAATGATTCTCATCCCTAAAAGTTATGTTATCTTACTAACTAAAGATGTATCTACACGAAAACAAAGCAACCAGTTAGACACAGAAAGAGTTTGTTCCTAGTATCTGCAGTTTACTTTATGATCTCTCCAGGACAGAGAGATACTCATAATGGTTAAAAAGTAAAATTACCAGATGGCATAACAATCCAAAATGTGTATGCACATAAAAATAGACTTCAAATTATAAGAGGCAGAAACTGACAGAAATGAAAAAAGAAATAGGTAAATTATTATTATTATTGAAGATTTAAACATTTCTCTCTCAATAATTGATAGATGAAGTGGAAAGAAACTCAGCAAATACGTTGATGCCTTGAGCAGAACTATCAACTTGATCTCATCAACGTTTGTAGGCGACCACACACAACAGCAACATTCTTACTGTTGCTGAGTTTATACACATTCTTTTTTGAGTGCTAATAGAAGAATGAACAAGATATAATAAAGGAAAATAGTGCAAAAATGACAATGATAACAATAAGAAAAAAACTGGAGAAAAATTATATAATAATAATAATAAACTTTTGATTCCTCCATCTCAAAATTTTATCCTATGCTGACCTAAAAATGATTTATTTATTAATTTCCAAGTTTTCCAATCAACTTATGTATAAGGTTGATATAATTTACTGGTGGTTCTGAAGAATTAAATACATTATCAATCTGGATAATACAAACCACATTTGGAAGGAAGTGGATGAAATGCAGTGGAAAGGAAGAGGTATTTTTCCTTGATTATATAAAGTATGATTTATACAGATGAACCTGTATATGGGACCACAGTGAAAAAGTACAAATATGATAAGTCAGTGAAATATTTTAAAAATATAAGATACTGTTTTAGTCTATGTCTAAAGATACCATGCAGTAATTTACACATGGGAAGTTTAATGTAAAGAATTATTCATTGTAACAAGGATTAGAGTAAAACAATAAGAAGTAAAGAGAACTCTAAAGGTCATAGGAATATCAGATACAAGAAGCAGCCAGCAATCCCAGGACTGGGGTAAAGAAGGCAGTTTCCTTGCCCCAGATTTGAGATTGTTAAAAGTGGCACAACCATGGATCTTCAAATAGGACAAGTCACTGTGGTGCTGTACCAAGAGATCTTGCTGTAAAATTTCTCTTTAGAACCCTCTGGAAATCTGTCCTTTGGGTAGCCAGGAAAGCTGTTCATAAGATGTCTCACCAAAGTCACTTTGCTATGGAAGGAGAGCGGCCTAGATGATGGGAGGATACTTCTGCCTGATGGGTGCTAGAGACCACCATGCACGGAAGGATCTGGGTACTAGAGAATCTCCAAGCACTGAGGGATCCTGGCTTTGCAAAAAGCTGTACCCTGTGCAGGAGCCTACCAAGCTAGCACACTGGAACCAAATAGCAAAGCTCTCTTCCCATGCTCTCCAGTACCCGTTACTAGCAAAGCTTCAGTGCCACCTGGCAAAGGAAAAAATAATTAAGAGGTTTATATTCATTTGCACAAAGCAGGCAAAAGGTTAATTTGAAGCTGAGTAGCAATACATCAATAATTGACAGAGCCTACAACTTTGACTACTTAGTTACTGTATGCACTCTTTTATACACATTTGAACTCTGTAAAAACAACAAAATCACCCTACATTTCTATTTAGCAAGATTCAGCCAACCTTCTCCCAAGTAAAGAAATTCTCATTCTTCCCTCAAAATGATGAGACACACAATCACGAGTCACTGTGTCCATTGCTAGCTCTATTAAGTTCTCCACAAATTTAGTCACGGTCCAACTGAATACTATGTTAACATGAGGTTAAATTAACTTGTAAAGTTAAGCTCCAACCCCTTGCATGTAAACTAATAATAGGAAGAGGGAAAAAGAAGAAAATGGTTAGCACCTACAAATAAAGATACCTATGCATATGACAAGATAAGAGAAAAATATTTAAAGCTACTATAGTCTTCATTTCTGTAATAAGTCATGATTGCTATGTATGACTTCTTTTTCCCACTACCTGCTCCCCATTTCCATTGCTCTCAACCAGAACCTAAGCTTGTTACGGATATTTACCTAGCAGAATAGCACAAATCTTCACTCCCAAAGGGTTTGCATCCTTAATCATATTTTATTTTGGTTACTATTATACTCAGGTGGGTTCAAGACACAGCACTTCTTTAAGCAACAAATTTCCCTATTGTGTTCAGAGTCAGTCACTCCAGCCACTGGGTTAGCCTGTTTGTGCAGTGGCAAAAGGAGCTCGAAATATCCAGTTGCAAGTTTCATCTTCCAAATTAGAGAAATTTTTATTGTGTCCCCAGGTGCACAAATTCCCCACTGGGGGCTAGAAGCTAAAAGTTACTGGGACAGAAAGCAAGATGCTACAAAATGGTTATTAGGTATAGTGGTGGGAAGAGACACTCCCATTTCAACACCTTACTTCCTGGACCCATGTATTGTGGTTCTCAGAAAACCATGCCATATAATGGTCTTGATTCAAACATAACCCCAGCCTTTCAGAGTAATGTCTCCCAACTATTATGGTAAATGAGTACTCAGTAACCTGGTCTACCTTTCAATTAGGCCAGCTGCTTCCAGATGACAGAGTATATGGTAACACATGTACATAAACCAATTGCTGCCCTTAATCTGCTGAGAAATAAGTTTCTGTATCAGACACAACACTGTGCAGAAGCCATGGCAGTGGATAAGGCATTCTGTGAGTCCACAAGTTCTGGTGCTAGAAGAAGCACCATGGACAGGGAAGGTAGTTTTTGTTTTTCAGGGAATTTAATCCATTTACCTACATCATCTAATGTTGGCATACAATTATTCTTAGCATTCCCTTAATAATCCTTCTATAAGGATGGTAGTAATATCCCACTTTTATTTCTGATTTTAGTAATTTGATTCTTTTCTTTTCATAGTCAATCTAGCTAAATAAAGATTTGTCAATTTTGTTTATCTTTTCGCAGAGCCAGCTTCTGGTTTCATTGATTTGTTCTATTATCTGTTCTTATTAATTTCACTCTAATCTTTATTATTCCCTTTCTTCTGCTTAATCTAGGTTTAATATGTTCTTTTTCCTGTGTTATATGTGGTTGGATAGGATATTTCTTTGAGATCTTTCTTCTTTATTGATACATGCTTTTATATATATAAATTTATCAAAAGCACTACTTTAGCTGCATCCCATACATTTTAGTATGGTGTGTCTTCATTTTCATTTTCCTTAAATATCTTCTGGTTTCATATTTGATTTATTCTTTAATCCATGGTTATTTAGAGATATGATATTTAATTTCTACATCTGTGAGCTTCTCCAAATGTTTTCTGTTAATTATTTCTAAAAAAATGCCTTTATTATCAGAAAACATACTTTTATTACTTCTATACTTTTAAACTGAGGCTTTTTTAATGGATTAGCATATGGTCTATCCTGGAAAATATTCTGTGTACACGTTAAGAAGAATGCGTATCTTGTTCTTTGGTGGAGCATTTTACAGATGTCTGCTAGGTTTACTTAGTTTATGATTTTTTTTTCAAGTCTTATATTCCCTTGCTGATCTTCTGCCTAGTTGTTCCACCGATTGTTGAAAGTGGCAGAGAAGAAGAAAAGAAGCCTTCAACTATAAGTGTTGAGTTCTCTATTTCTCCCTTAGTATCTACCTATTTTTTTATGCACTGTGGTGCTCTGATATTTGGTACCTATGTTTACAAGTGTTATATCTTCCTGATGCATTAAACCTTTTATTAGTAGAAAATACTGCTCTTTATTTCTAGTAACATTTTTTTCTTTCAAAGTCTACTTTGTCTGATATAAATATAGTCAATCCAGTTTGCTCGTGGTTGCTATTTACATGATAATCTTTTTTCATTCCTTTAATTTGAGTCTGTCTGTGTCTTTGAACTTAAAGCATGTTGTCTTTCAACAGTTTATAGTAGTCTTTTCACATTGCCTGACAATCTGCCTTTTATTGGATTGTTTAATTCAATCACATTTAATGCTATCATTGATATAGTTGTATTTGCATCTGCTTTTTACTTTTTGTTTTGTATGTGTTTTTGTTCCTCTTTTTTCTCATTTTAGTGTTTTTTTTTCCCTGTTAGGTGGATATATTCTACTGAAGAATTTAAATTTCCTTAATGATTTTTCAATATTTTTGAGTTATATTTTTAGTGATTTCCCTAGGGCTTACCTTACACATTTTAACTTACCAGATGCAGATTTAGATTTATATTACCTTAATTCCAGTGATATGTAGAAACATTGCTCCTATAAAACTCTACTTCCCTCACATTTATGGTATTATTGTTGTACATATTACATCTATTAATGTTACAAACCCAACAGTACATTGTTATAATTACTTTACTATCTGCAATCATTTCCTTAACCCAGTACCTCTTTGTTTCCACTCACCTCCTATATGCTGTTATTGGCAAATATATTTCCTGGCCCCAATAATATGCCCTATTCATATTATTTTACTCAATTGATTTCTAAATCAGCTAAGAGAAAAAAGGGGGAAATACGCATTTATATTATGTTTTTAAATTACATAATAACCTGTATGAACTCTCTTTGGATGTTTATGTGGATTTGAATCACTCTCTGAGATCGCTTACTTTCAACCTGAAGAATTTCTTTAAGTGTTACTTGTAAGGCAGGGCAATTAACAACAAATTCTCAAAGTTTTCATTTATATGGAAATGTCTTTAGTTTGATTTTGTTTCTCATTTTTCTTACTGAATTTTTCATATTTTCTTGTATGGCTATTTATTTATTTTCTCTTAGGACTATTTGTCCTTATGTCCACTTCTGGGGGATTTAAATTGTCATTTACTTATGTTCATCAGTTTCACTAGGGATCAGATCTATAGAGTTCCTCATGATGTCATACCAAAAGTTAACTCTCCATATCTTTATTTTTGAAGAATAATTTTGCTTAATATATAATTCTAAGTGCCAGGGATTTTTTTCTCTCTCAGCATTTTTTTTGTTCATTGTGTCCTGCCTCCTTACATATGTGTGTGTGTGTGTGTGTGTGTGTGTGTGTGTGTGTGTGTATGTAAAGAAGTACCATGATTTACATCATTACTCCTATGAATGTTATGTGTTACTTTTCTCTGGTTTATTTCAAGATGTCCTCTTCATTTTTGGTTTTCAGCAGTTTATTATATGATTGGTTCCTTAGGTCTTGTGGAAATAAATAAAAACCAAGCAAATGAGAATAAACAAAGGTTACTTATTCATAGCAAGGACATCATCCACTGTCACTTGCATTTTGGCAGATACTCAAAGGCAGGCAGAAGAGTGGGAAAGCTTTATAGTGGAAGGAAGGGAAGACCTCAGGTGTGCTCTGATTGAAGGTTGTTGGTGGGGGCTGCTGTAGAAGGGTTAACTATGTGATTGGAGTATTTATTTGGCTATTCTCTGCTTGGTTCTAAGGTGGAAGCAGGGACAAAAATTAGGGAAGCTGAAAGTTTTTATTTTTTTATATATTTATTTATTTTAAATTTTATTTTATTTATTTATTTATTTTTGGCTGTGTTGGGCCTTTGTTGCTGCGCATGGGCTTTCTCTAGTTGTGTCGAGCTGGGGTTACTCTTTGTTGCGGTGCACAGGCTTCTCATTGAGGTGGCTTCTCTTGTTGTGGAGCACGGGCTTCAGTAGTTGTGGCTTGCAGGCTGTAGAGCTGAGGCTCAGGAGTTGTGGCACATGGGCTTAGTTGCTCCACGGCATGTGGGATCTTCCCGGACTAGGGCTCGAACCTGTGTCCCCTGCATTGGCAGGCAGATTCTCAACCACTGCACCACCAGGGAAGAAGCAGCTGATACTTTTTAATCAAGTCCTTGTTATTGGGACTGATTGCTGTATAAGTTATTGGTTAGCTTCCTGGATTGTTACTGGAGATAGCAGCATGACTTCCTACAAAGTCAGCTATTTATTGTCAGTAAAGAGGTTGGTTTCCTGCAGGTCAGAGTTTTATTTTTATATATGGTTTGGCCATTGCCTATTTGTTTATTCATTGTCTCAATCTATAAATGTGGTTTCTCACTAAATTTGGCCATGAATTTTTCAAATACTTTTATACCTATTTTCTCTTTCCATTTTTCTGGACCTCCAATTAAACATATTTTAGATAACATTGTCCCACAGGTTGCTGCAGCCATATTCCATTTTTAAAGCTTGTTTTCTCTCAGGTTTCTTTCAGATTCAATGGTTTCTATAGATCTGTATTCTAGGGTTTTTGTTTTTTGCCATCTGCAGTGTCAGTAAAACATATCCAGTGTATTTCATTTTAAATGTATTTCTTTGTTCTAGAATTTAGAGTTGGCATTTTTGTAACATTTTATTTCTCTGCTGAATTTCCTAATTGCTTCCCTTATTATGCCCAGAATTTCCTTTATGATGTCCTTCATCATGTTTTTAATATCTGTTTTAAATCCATTTATTTACTAATTCCAAAATCCGGTGTTATTTTGAAGTCAGTTTCTTTCTGGTTTTACTTTTGACTATGGGCCACATTTTTCTTTTATTCATATATCTAATATTTTAAATCATATACTGGTGATATTCCATGATACATTGGAGAGCTTGTGATTCTTTTCTCTAAAGAGTTCTCAGGGTCAGTAAGATTGTGTGTTTTGTTGGAACATTTGCTACTTTGTGCTGCCCTGCCCAGGGGAGGCACTCAGGTGAAAACCAGTATAACACAAAACTCAGTAAATGCAGTTTTCCTCTTTCTATTGTTGATTCCCTTCTCTCACCTTTTCTTGCCTGCCTTTGTTGTTGGAGTTTAAAAAATAATTTTTCAGAGTCTACATTTGTCATTGATGAGAAGGCTAATCCAGTGCAAGCTACTCTGCCATTATACTAAAGTAATCTTGAAAAGAAAAAATTATCTTTTGGGTTTATTTACTTTTTACATCTACCTTGAAAAATTAAGTCAGAAGAGTTTGAAGAAACAAGTTTTTGATGATTTTTACCTTGATCCTAATGATTGGGTTGTCATGTTTCATTTATAACAGAAAAAATCATGGAAGTTTACTTGTTCTTTGGGACACGTAGGGACAGTTTTGGAAAATTGAGCCAAATGTTCATCTAATGATGTTATAAATCCATTTTGGAAACAATTAGTGCTTGACACATACATACATATATATGTGTGTGTGTGTGTGTGTGTTTTAAGTATTTGAGAATAGTGCATTTAACATAAATTATTCTAATAGAAATATATGTGTTTATTTTTCAGGACTTATGCTACTACCAAGGGTATATTGAAGGTTATCCAAATTCTATGGTGATCGTTAGCACATGTACTGGACTCAGGTTGTTATACATAATTTTATGGTTACAAAAAATGGAATTTTTAAGAAATAATTTTCAAATTTGAAAAATTATAATCAGAAGCTTTATTTTTATTTTTAAATTAATTTTATTGGAGTATAGTTGATTTACAATGTTCTGTTAGTTTCTGCTGTACAGCAAAGTGAATCAGTTATACATATACATATACCCACTCTTTTAGATTCTATTCCCATATATAGGTCATTACAGAGTATTGAGTAGAGTTCCCTGTGCTATATGGTAGGTTCTTATTAGTTATCTATTTTATATATAGTAGTGTGTATATGTCAATCCCAATCTTCCAATTCATCCCACCCCACCTTCCCCCCCTTGGTAACCATAAGTTTGTTTTCTACATCTGTGACTCTATTTATGTTTTGTAAATAGGTTCATTTGTACCATTTTTTTTAATATTCCACATATAAGTGATATCATATGATATTTATCTTTCTCTGTCTGACTTACTTCACTCAGTATGACAATCTTTATGTCCATCGATTTTGCTAAAAATGGCATTATTTCATTCTGTATTTATGGCTGAGTAATGTTCCATTGTATATATGTACCGCATCTTCTTTATCCATTTCTCTGTTGATGGACATTTAGGTTGCTTCCATGTCCTGACTATTGTAAAAAAGTGCTGCAGTGAACTTTGGGGTACATGTATCTTTTCGAATTATGCTTTTCTGCAGATATATACCCAGGAGTAGGATTGCTGGATCATATAGTAGCCCTATTTTTAGTTTTTTAAGGAACCTCCATACTGTTGTCCATAGTGGCAGCACCAATTTACATTCACACCAACAGTGTAGGAGGGTTCCCTTTTCTCCACACACTCTCCAGTATTTATTGCTCGTAGATTTTTTTGATGATGGCCATTCTGACCAGTGTGAAGTGATACCCCATTGTAGTTTTGATTTGCATTTCTCTAATAATTGGTGATGTGAAGCATCTTTTCATGTGTCTCTTGGCCATCTGTATGTCTTCTTTGGAGGAATGTCTATTTAGATCTTCCCCCATTTTTTGATTGGGTTGTTTCATTTTTTTGATATTGAGCTGTATGAGCTGTTTGTATATTTTGGAGATTAATCCCTTGTCGGTCGTTTCATTTGCACATATTTTCTCCCATTCTGTGGATGGTCTTTTTGTTTTGTTGATGGTTTCCTTTGCTGTGTAAAAGCCTTTGAGTTTAATTAGGTCTCATTTGCTTATTTTTGTTTTTATTTTCATTACTCTAGGAGGTAGAGCAAAAAAAGATCTTGCTTCGATTTATGTCAGAGAGTGTTCTGCCTATGTTTTCCTCTAAGAGTTTTATAGTATCCAGTCTTACATTTAGGTCTTTAATCCATTTTGAGTTTATTTTTGTGTATGGTGTTAGGGAGCATTCTAATTTCATTCTTTTACATGTAGCGGTCCAGTGTTCCCAGCACCACTTATTGACGAGACTGTCTTTTCTCCATTGTATATTCTTGCCTCCTTTGTCATAGATTAGGTGACCATAGGTGCGTAGGTTTATATCTGGACTTTCTAGCCTGTTTCATTGATCTATATTTGTGTTATTGTGCCAGTACCATACTGTCTTGATTACTGTAGCTTTGTAGTATTGTCTGAAATCAGGGAACCTGATTCCTCTAGTCCATTTTTCTTTCTCAAGATTGATTTGGCTATTTGGGGTCTTTTGTGTTTTCATATAAATTGTGAAATTTTTTGTTCTAGTTCTGTGAAAAATGCCATTGGTAATTTGATAGGGATTGCATTGAATCTGTAGATTGCTTTGGGTAGTATAGTCATTTTCACAATATTGATTGTTCCAATCTAAGGACATGGTATATCTCTCCATCTGTTTGTGTCATCTTTGATTTCTTTCATCAGTATCTTATAGTTTTCTGAATGCAGGTCTTTTGCCTCCTTAAGTAGGTTAATTGCTAGGTACTTTATTATTTTTGATGTGATGGTAAATGGGATTGTTTCCTTAATTTCTCTTTCTGATCTTTCATTAGTAGTGTATAGGAATGCAACAGATTTCTGCACATTAATTTTGTATGCTGTGACTTTACCAAATTAATTGATGAGCCCTAGTAGTTTTCTGGTGGCATCTTTAGGATTTTCTATGTATAGTATCATGTCTTCTGCAGACAGTTTAACTTCTTTTCCAATTTGTATTTCTTTTTCTTCTCTGATTGCCGTGGCTAGGACTTCCAAAACTATGTTGAGTGAAAGTGGAGAGAGTGGACATCCTTGTCTTGTTCCTGATCTTAGAGGAAATGCTTTCAGTTTTTCACTGTTGAGAATGATGTTTGCTGTAGGTTTGTCGTATATGGCCTTCATTATGTTGAGGTAGGTTCCCTCTATGCCCACTTTCTAGAGAGTTTTTATCATATATGGGTGTTTAATTTTGTCAAAAGCCTTTTCTGCATCTATTGAGATGATCATATTGTTTTTATTCAGTTTGTTAATATGGTGTATCACACTGATTGGTTTACGTATATTGAAGAATCCTTGCATCATTGGGATAAATCCCACTTGATCATGGTATATGATTCTTTTAATGTGTTGTTGGATTTGGTTAGCTAGTATTTTGTTGAGGATTTTTGCATCTATGTTCATCAGTGATATTGACCTGTAATGTGTGTGTGTGTGTTTGTGATACCTTTGTCTGGTTTTGGTATCAGGGTGATGGTGGCCTCATAGAATGAGCTTCTGAGTGTTCCTTTCTCTGCAATTTTTTGGAATGGTTTGAGAAGGACATGTGTTAGCTCTTCTCTAAGTGTTTGATAGAATTCACCTGTGAAGCCTTCTGGTCCTGGACTTTTGTTTGTTGGAAGTTTTTAAATCACTGTTTCAATTTCAGTACTTGTGATTGGTCTATTTATATTTTCTACTTCCTCCTGGTTCAGTCTTGCAGGGTTGTGTCTTTCTAAGAATTTGTCAATTTCTTCTAGGCTGTTCTTTTTATTGGCATATAATTGCTTGTAGTAGTCTCTTATGATCCTTTGTATTTCTATGGTGTCAGTTTCAACTTCTCCTTTTTATTTCTAGTTGTATTAATTTGAGTCCTCTCCCTTTTTTTTCTTCATGAGGCTGGCTAAAGGTTTATCAATTTTATTTATCTTCTCAAAGAACCAGCTTTTAGTTTCCTTGATCTTTGCTAAGTTATAAAGTGAGGCATGGCTTATAGTGGGAAATTGTCATTGGAAAAGCACAGCATGGAGACTTTTGTACTGTCTCCTACTCTTCTCCTGAATTACGATTTTTTAGTGTATGTGGAGACCACAGAGTACTAGTAGCTTGGTAAATACCAATAGCATTACTACTCTGTTCCACTCAGTAAATTTGTGGATACTCGGTAACTTTTTCTTACTTCACCACATAAGGCTAAGAATGAAAATAACCTGCATACTATTAAAAAACCCTGATTATGTCATTTTATTGACTTCGTGAAAAATGAACTGTTTTATTTATTCACTTACTTTTTGGAATTTTTAGGGGCTTACTACAATTTGAAAATGTAAGTTATGGAATTGAGCCCTTGGAGCCTTCAATTGGTTTTGAACATGTGATTTATCAAGTAAAACATAGGAATACAGGTGCTCCTTTATATGCTGAGAAGGATATTGAGTCAAGAGAAAAGCCCTATAAAATACAAAGTGTAGAGGTAAGTGATCAATTGAGTAAGTTATATAGTTATTACTATGCAGCAATATAAAAAATGTATTTTTTTCTGATAAAAAATTATTAACATATGTATATGAGAGAGAGAAAGAGAGAGAGAGTGATACCAGAAACTTCATAACCTATTGTAAGTCTTAAAACTAGTCATTCAGTTTTCCAGAACACCAAGATGGCATTTTCTGCTGTTAGTGGCATTTTTCCCTGTGATCCAGACCTTTGTTGTCTGCAGATGCTCTCCTTTCTCCATATCCATTATATCAAAGTTTGGATATAATAAACATAAGTGACATTCACATAAATTCACATAAAAATTCACATAAAATGAAGATACTTATCTAGGATGCTGAGAAGAATCACTAGTGTCTTTTAAGGCACCTGCCTCAGGGTAGGCCATTACATTTTCCTTATATCCTTATCCAGGGATGGAGAGACTGCTTCTACTGGCAAAGAAGACTCATCAGAATTTAGTAGAAGTTTAGTGACTTCCCTGGTGGTACAGTAGTTAGGAATCTGCCTGCCAATGCAGGGGACATGGTTTCAATCCCTGGTCTGGGAAGATCCCACATGTCATGGAGCAACTAAGCCCATGTGCCACAACTACTGAGCCTGCGCTCTAGAGCTCACGAGCCACAACTACTGAGCCCGTGTGCCACAGCTACTGAAACCTGCATGCCTAGAGCCCGTGCTCCACAACAGGAGAAGCCACCTCAATGAGAAGCCCGTGCATAACAACAAAGAGTAGCCCCCACTCGCCACAACTAGAGAAAGCCCACATGCAGCAACGAAGACCCAACACAGCCAAAATAAATAAATATTTATTTATTTATTAAAAAAAAGAATTTAGGGATTTAGTGACCCCAGCTTCATCAGAGTTTCTCATATACGCTCATTCCAATTTTTAGGATGTTATTTCTTCCAGTAGACACCCTGTGAGGGTGGAAATTCAATTTGTGTTGTAGTTCATCCACTCACAAAATGAGATTCTGGATTTGGTTTTCAACAATCTCAGCTCTGCACCAACAGTGGCTAAGGGTATCTTTCAATAAAGACACTTCCCCAAGAAAACAGAACCAACAGAATATATGTATATGTGTGTGTGTGTGTGTGTGTGTGTGTGTGTGTGTGTATACACACACATATATATTTGATGTAAACACACACACACACACACGAAGAGAGGGAGAATGAGAGAATTTAGAGTAGACTGTAGACTAGCAGGCTGGAGACAAGGGAAGAGTTGTATTCAAGTCCAAAGGCAGTCAGCTGGAAGGATTCCTTCTTGCTTACAAGGTAGTCTTTGTTCTAATAAGGCCTTCAACTAATCAGATGAGCTCCACACATATGAAGGGTAATCTACTCCACTAAAAGTCCACCAATTTAAATGTTTATCTTATGCAAAATCATTTTCACAGAGACATCCAGAATAATTTTTGAACAAAAATCTGGGCATTGTGGCCCAGGCAAGTTCACAGAAAAAATTAACCATCATACCAGGTTTACAAAATTTATTTCATATTTCCTCCAAAAGTTTTATTCTTTAAACTCTTACATTTCAATATATGATCCAATTTAATTTAATTTTTGTATGGAGTGAAGGAGGGCGCTAAATTCATCATTTTTCATATGCATATCTAGTTTTCCCAACACCATTTGTTGAAAAGACTTATGTTTGTTCCACTGAATCTTCATGGCCCTTTTTTTCAAAGATCAGTTGACCATAGATGTTAGGGATTATTTCTGCACTTGAAATAATACTCCATTGATCTTATGTCTATTCTTATGCCAGAGCCACACTTTTTACTACTATACCTTTGGAATAAGTTTTGGAATTAGTAAGTGTACATCCTTCAGTAATGTTCTTTTTCAAGATTGTTTTGGCTATTCTTGATACTATCAATCTCCAAATAAATTTTAAAATTCACTTATTTTCAATTCCCTGAAAAATCAAGCTGGGATTCTGTTGATTCTGTAGATTAATCTTGGAAATACTGCCACTTAACAATATTAACTCGTCCTATCCATGAACATTGAGCGGCTTTTTGTTTTTAGGTCTTCTTTAATTTTTTACAACAATCTTTTGTATAGTTGTCTTCAAGTTGTCAGCCAAACTTCTTAGGTTAAATTTATTTCTACAAATGTTGTCATTTAAATGCTATTTCACATTTAAAATTTTATTTCAAATTTGGATTTCTCATTATTCATGTTTGGAAATTATTGACTTTTGTATACTGATTTCATATTCTGCAAACTTGTTTAAATTGGGTATTAGTTTTTTATTGTACTCTTTGTAGTCTTCTGTGTACAAGATGATGTCATCTTAAACAAAGATTATGTTCTTCCTTTTCAATTATGATGCTTTTAACTTCTCTTTTATTGCCTACATGCCCTGGTTAGCATGGTGTTGAATAGGTGAGAAGAATATCCTTGTCTTGGACCAATTTTAAGAAGAAAGTCCACCACTATTAAGTATAATGTTAATGGTGAAATAATATAAAAACTTTCTGAAACTTTCAATTCACTTTACTCTCTGATAAAATTCTCCTGCTTCACTTTCTATCTCACTTCCTCTGACTTTTCCTTATACACTCATGTTCTAGATAATGATATTTCTTGTGTTATGTCTCAGGTTTTTGTTTGTGTTGTATATTGTCTTGTATATTTTTTCACGGCTTTATCTACTGTGATTTACAGATCTCCCACTCTTATTCCAATTTTTTTCTGAGTTATTGATCTTACATTGGACATAATGACTGCCCAAGTTAAACAACATACACACACATTAACTATCTACCTACTTATCTATTTATCTATCTATATCATCTATCATCTATCTGTCATCATCTTCATGTCCCTCTCACTTCCTGAATATTCTTACCAGTGGGCTTTGGTATCTTTTAACTTTAACTTTTTAATCCAACTACATTGCAATTGGATCATTTAGTAGTGTTCTCCAATCTTCTTCCCTAGCTCCAATTCTTTAGTGTTTATTTGACCAAAGCAAAGTTTCATGCCATTGATGTCAACCTTATATAGCACATTTCCAAGAAATTGGTTTTCTTTATTGGCTACTTTCATTTACTAAATAAAATAGCTTTTCAGGTCTTCTGAAATCTTAACACCTGCCCACCTTCCCAATATACAGATTTCTTGGCATTCTTTAATGCATCTTTGTCTTAAATTTTTAATTATTTTGCTGAAACAGACTATATCTTTTCCCCATGAAAGCTTATTGTCCAGTAAATAAGTGAATAAATTATAATCAACTAAATATCATCAATCCCTATCTCAGAGATGAAAATAAACAAGGATTACTTCAGGAAATGTAAGTCAACTAACACTTATGTTGCTTAAAACAAAGAAATAGCTTTGAATCTCTCAAACCATTAATATTTTGTTAGTTTCAATTAATATAAATGTTTATTTTTCTCCTCCAGTAAAGTTCATTTCCTTGTTTAGGCACTTCAATGAAACTTTGGAATCCTATAAGCAAAACTATCATGAAGCATTCAGTGCTTCCTTTTGGATGGAAATGAAAATAAACCAATTAGACCATAAGGGGATTTCATTTGCATTTTAAAAAAAACAAACCCTCAAGTCTCCAAGGTTTTAAAAGAGAATTTTTTTTCTTTTTTCAGTACGCGGGCCTCTCACTGCTGTGGCCTCTCCCGTTGCGGAGCACAGGCTCCGGACGCGCAGGGGCAGCGGCCATGGCTCACGGGCCCAGCCGCTCCACGGCATGTGGGATCTTCCCGGACCGGGGCACGAACCCGTGCCCCCTGCATCGGCAGGCGGACTCTCAACCACTGCGCCACCAGGGAAGCCCAAAGAGAATTTTTAAATGGAGGGAAAAAATGAATGATCATTCACCCCTGAATTTGTCTTACTGACCTTATTGACTTTTTTTCCTTTAAATTACTACAATCTTCACTTTTCTCTGCTAAATCCTAGATTTATTTTTCTCTATTGCTCCTCTTTATGTTAAGGAAAATGGTTTAACTAAAATGTGATAGTTTTGAACTTTCAAAGGATTAAATACCAGTGTAAAAAGAAAAAAATTCAGGCATTAAAATACCATAATAAAAGTTTTCTCAGTTTTTGAAATTTGATCCTCCTTTTCTGCTTCTATATATTTGTCCAGTGCTTATACGTGGTATACTATTTTAGTAACAAACTATTTTGAGTTAACTGCACTATAGTCTTAAAGTGCCCACAAAGACTGTCTTCCAAGTTTTCCCTAGTGCATTCCTCCTAGGTTAACTTCATGTAAAAATAATGATGAACATAAGTAATATTTTATTAAACGTAGTTACAACAATTATTACTTGTTGGCAGAGTGTAAGTCACACAGATCATAAGCCCATCGGGCCTCACATTTGTGCCTAATTTAACCACTGTGGTCTAATTAAATGACATCATAACCAGATTCCACATACTGAGATATCTATGGTGCAGTTTAAGAAACCCATTTTGTTTCTCTGTTGCTCACTTTTTTCTGCGGTGATTTATACAAGGATTAGCTTTATCCTTCAGATGAAATCCCACCCCTCTAAACACAGAGATGTGCCCCTACTCTTTCAAGGCCGTAGATAAAACCATACAGCATAATAATGTATAGTGGAATCATTAAACGAACATAAATACACACATAATGGCAAGTCAAGGGAAGAATTTCCTCAGGGAAAAGAATCATATGAGTAGCCCAGTACCAGTGAGAATATGGAGAATGGAAGGTAGAGGAGAGCTATTTGCTGAGTAAATTAAGTGATTGATCAGGTGTGAAAGACATGACAAAGGCAATATTCTGAAAATGATTTCTATTTTCATATAGAAAACTGAATTTTCAATGTTGAATTTGTGAAGTAGTATATTACTTAAAATAATTAAATGATTCTTCAATTTTTATCTAAAGATTGTGACTTTTTTTCAGCCACCTGTAGACTTCTCTCAGTATATAGAAATGCATGTTGTAGTTGAAAAAAATTTAGTAAGTATACTTTCACTTATTTGTCTTATCTTAATTTATATTAGCAATGGGAGGTTATAAAAAGTGTTGGAATAAATTTTTAACATAGGACAATAAATGATTTTATTTAATTTTTGCTTTATCTCTGCCTTAATGAATTTAAATTACTAGTATCAGTAGTAAATTGGAAATCAAATCTCTATTAGTTTATTTTAAATTTTATATAATTAACATATTAAAACATGTTACCTATAAAATAGTTTCTTAGTAATTTTTATTCATCATTCCCATACCCATAATGTCTAATAACCTTTGATCTTTTACTGTCTCCATAATTTTGCCTTTTTCAGAAGATCATATAGTTGAAATGTACAGTATGTAGTTGTTACAGATTAGCTTCTTTACCTTGGTAACATGCATTTAACTTTACTACATGCCTTATCATGGCTTGCGAGCTAATTTCTTTTAGTACTGAGTAATATTGCATTGTCTGTATGTACCACAGTTTATTTATCCATTCATCTACTAAAGGACATCTTGGTTGCTTCCAATTTTGAGATGAATCAAGCTGCTATTAACATCCATTCACAGGTTTTTGTATTGACATATTTTAAATCCTTTGGGTAAATATCAAGCAGCATGGTTGCTGCATCATATGGTAACAGTATGTTTTTTTTGTTTGATTTTTTTGTGAGAAACTGCCAGACTGTCTTCCAAAGTGCCTGTTTCATCTTGCATTCAGCACTTTAAATATATCATCCCCTTGTCTTCTGTCCTCTAAAGTGTTTGCTAAGAAATCGGCTAGTAATCTTATTATCACCCCTTTTATGTGGTTAGTTACTTTTCTCTTGCTGCCTTCAATATTAATATTCTCTTTAGGTTTTGACAGTTTGATTATAATTTGTCTTGGTGTGGGTCTCTTTGGCTTTATCCTTCTTAGAATTTAAGCTTAAGGATTTGTGTGTTCATGTGGTTCATCAGATTTGGCAAGCTTTTGGCCATTATATCTTTAAATAATCTCTCTTCTTCTTCTGGGATTCCCTTAAGTCATATATTGTTCTGCATAATGGTATCCCACCAGTCCCTCCTTTTTCTTTCTGGTTCTCAGACTCAATAATTTCAGTTATCCTGTTCTCAAGTTTACTGCTTCTTTCTTCTGCCCCTTTAAATCTACTGTTGAATCCTTCTACTCAATTTTCAGCTCAGTTATCACATTTTTCAATGCCAGAATTTGTTTGGTTTCTTTTTATAATTTCTATATCTTTGTTGATATTTTCATTTTATTCATATATCATTTTCCTGACTTCCCTTCATTCTTTTTGTTTTCCTTTAGCTCTTTGAGCATATTTTAGGCAGTTGTTTTAAAGACTTTGTCTAGTATGTCTCTATGTCCTCAGGAAGGGTTTCTGTCAATTTATTTCCTTCGTTTGGGCCATGCTTTTTTTCTTTGTTTGCCTTGTAACACAGACTGTTTCTGTTCCTCTAAAATTTATACTAATGCATAGTGATGGTACTGGGAAGTGGAGCCTTTGGGAGTGGCTTAGGTCATGAAGCTGGAGCCCTCATGAATGGGATTAGTGCCCTTATAAAAGAGAGGCCAGAGAGCTCCCTCACCTCTTCTACCATGTGAGGACAGAGCAGGAAGATGGCAAGATGGCCATCTCTGAACCAGGGAGCATGTTCTCATCAGACACAGGGTATGCTGGAAACCTAATCTTTAAACTTCCTGGCCTCCAGAACTGTGAGAAATAAATATTTGTTGTTTGAGCACCCAGTCTATGGTGTTTTTGTTAGGGCAGCCCAAACTGACTAAGACACATTGTGATTTTTGTTGAAAATTCAGCATTTGATAAAATAACCAGGGGACACAGAAAACAGCCATTCAGGCACCTTCCAGACCGGTTAGAACATTGCAGATAAGGTCTTCTCTGCTCCACCTGGTATAAGGGAGGGAATTGGGAAATGGACTACCATTTCCTCCAGATTAAACCATGCCACACTGGGGAAGGGAACAGGGCATAGGGGAGTAAAAACACCACAAAATTTCCTGTCATTTTCAAGATGTTTTTTTCTTGATTGGACATTTGTAGACCTTTGAATGTTTTCCTGAGGTTTTCTGGAGGCTCCAATGAGGTTATTTCAGCCAGTTTCTGGTTGTCTTTTGATGTTTCCAGAGAAAAACGAAGGCTTGGTGTTTTCTAGTTCTCCATTTTGTTGACTTCACTCCCCATGAAGGATATTTTTAATTATTTGTTGTCATCATTTTACAAAGGCTACTTTAAATCTTTGTCAGATAATTCTACCAAGTGATGTACTTTGGTGTTGACATGTATTGACTGACTTTTCTCCCTCAAGTTGTGATTTTCCTGGTTCTTGGTATGGCAAATGGTTTTCAGTTGCTTTCTGGAAATTTTTACTATTACGTTATGCAATTCTTCATTCTACTTAAATCTTTTATTTTGTTCATTCAGACTCCTTAGTTGTAGCACATAAGTCCTGACCAAATTATATGGGTTAAATTCAATGACAAAAGTTCTCAGAGCCTTCATAATGCTATTTTGGTCTTCTTGGTTCAGTCACTGTTTCTGCGGGTCCCAGTGATACTTGCCTGTCCTGCCTGCAGGAGTGGAAGGACCTTCCCCTGTCTCCTTCTATTGCCTCTGAGTGGAATATTGTAGATGGTGGGCCTGTGCAGGTGGAAAGTGTCTCCCTGGTCCACCCAGTGCCAGTGGGACTCTAGTACTGTTTGTGTGGGTGGGAGTTACTTCCCAGGGTCATTCTGCCTAGCGTTTCTAGGTAGGTACAGGAGACATCAAGCCTGTGGGGGTGGAGATATTTTGTCAGAAGAGTTTCGCTCTTCCCTGCTGATACCGCCAATAGGACCAAATGGCTGTTTCCTGGTCCAGGCCACCTGTTGTCTCAAGCTCGTTAATGAGAAGCTCCATGCTGTGGTGCAGAGGTTACTATTCTAGGCATCACGGTGTTAATGGGTTTCTCATTCCATTTCTACCTGGACTACTTTTTTGCCACTGGATGGGGTGTTGGGAATTGCTGAGAAGCTATGTTGTTCTTCCATTCCTAGCATACCTGTACAGGTACCTTCTTACTTCCACCTTTTAGAGACTTCCTATGATTTTTTTGTTATATTATTTCAGGGTTTATACTTTTTTATAATTTTGATCAGCTTGGAGGAACAGGGAGAGATGAGTTTATACCACCCTTTCTTGAAATTTAAATTATTGTCTTTGTGGGAATTCCTTGACGGCCCAGTGGTTAGGATGCAGGCTTTTTCACTGCTGGGGGCCCAGGTTCGATCCCTGGTTGGCGAACTAAGATCCCAGAAGCCGCTTGGCCAAAAAAGAAAAAAAAAGGGATAAATTACTGTCTTTTGCAAGTTTTTTTAAACTAATTTTAGAGAAGAAAAGACAAGATATTTATTGTTTTATACTTTGTTATTGCTAGTACCAATGTTCTTTATTATACTTATGTAGATATGAGTTACTGTTTTGTGTCATCTTTTCAACCTGAGAATTTCCTGATTATTACCATTTCTTGCCTTATTATTTCTGGCAGAGCAGCTCTGCTATCACTGATTTCTCTCTCTCTCTCTGTCTTTAAAATTTGAGAATGGCTTTCTGTTGCCTTTACTTAAGAAGAATAGTTTTGCTGAGTATAGAATTCTTGATTGAGAGTATTTTGTGGTAGCACTTTGAATTTGTAACCCCACCTGGTCTCCATTGATTCTAATGAGAAGTCAGCTCTGAACCTTGCTGTGCTTCTCCTATAGGTGATGTACCACTTTTTTCTTCTCAGTGTAAAGATTTTCTCCTTGTGGCTGTTGTCCAGTAACTACAACTATGATGTGTCTATGTGTGATTGTCTTTGATTTTATCTTACTTGAAGTTTGTTAAGCCTAAGTAATGTGTAGATTAGTGATTTTCATTGTTTGGGAGTTTTTAGCTATTATTTACTCAAGTTTTGTATTTTTGTTTGTTTTGTTTTTGATCATTTCTATGTCTCCTCTCCTTCTAAGATGCTCATTCTGTAAATGTGTATTTGCTTCATGGTGTCAAACAGGTGTCTGAGATTCTGTTCACTTTACTTCTTGTTTTTCCTTTCTGTTCTTTATGTTGAATAATTTCTATTGATACATTATTATTTTCATTTATTCTTTCTGCTAGTGAGCTTATATAATTTTAGTTATTATATTTTCAACTCAAGTATCTATTTAGTTCTTTTTTACAATTTTATAATTATTATTTGTTTTTTCTATTTCACTCAGGTTTATTGAGATATAATTGACACATAACTGTGTAAGTTTAATGTGTATGTGTTGACTTGATACATTTATAAATTACAAAATGATTACCACTGTAGTATTGGCTACCACGTCCATCCCATCACATAATTAATTTTCATTTCTCTTTTGTAGTGAGAACATTTAAATTCTACTCTCTTAGAACATTCAAGTATATGATGCAGTGTTATTAGCCATCATCACCAAGCTGTACATTATAATGTGTAATTTATATTCTTTACTGATACTCTCTTTTTTATGAGTCAATGTCATCATTCCTTTACTTCTTTAAACATGGTTCCTTTCAGTTCCATGTTTACCATAGTTGTTTTATAGTTTCGTGTGCTAAATCCAGTAAGGTCTACCTCATAGTTTCTAATGACTGCATTTTCAAATATGTGGGTAACATTGTTTTATTGTGCTTACTGTTTTTTAAATTCTTGTTTCTACTTTGAAGCCAGGATTTTTGTGGTTGACCTTGGGTGAACATATCTTAGTGGTCAGCCAATGACTGGTCAGAGGCTATGCTCCAACATTTGAGCTAGTAGGCTTCTAACGTTTGCAAATGGATTTGTCTGTTAGGGAAAGTATTCAGTTTTCAAGTCAGGTAGGTTTTGATTTTTATAGGACTTTCTCACATCTCCTCAGGTAGTGAGTAACGTTTCAAGTTCAGCCATGAACTTGTCGATATCTTAGACCCCTTTCAGTCTCTCCTGAGCATGAG